AATAGTTGTGGCCAACGATCGAATTTTGTGCCAAGTTCAATGATGTTTTTTTGTCTTAATTGTGACATACCTACTTTCTCATTTTTGTTAGTTATCTGACTTAGTCATTTAATATCCAAATCAGTGTAAAGGTGATACATATCCCCGTTTTAAGGGTATGAACAGTTCAATTGGTATTAATTTTTATTTCATATTTTTCAGGTGCAGAGAAGCCAACTGAGACTGAGGGCGCTATTATTACTGTTATTTATTACATAATGTAATTAAGACTTTGTATCTTTTATAATAAAACAATAAATTGAATATTTTATTAAGGAACATTATTTTCTAGGTTATAATTATAATAATTATGGAATACTACTACAAATTTTATTAAAAATTACTACAATTTGTATGAATTTTACTATTTATTGTGTAAAATTTTCGTATTTATTTTCATAAAACGCAATACATTTTTAATATAAATTCATATAATGAATAGCAAAAATTATAACAATTTGTAGAACAATTCTCATGATGCATTTGGATATTTTTACTTAATATTGTAGATAATAACTCTACAATACATTCTCCACAAATATTTGGAAATTTTTATTACAAATTGTCCCTGTCCCTATATGTACTATTTATTGTAGAGAAAAAATCTATAATTGTAGAAATTTGTTCTACAATTTTTTTTCCGTGAATCTACATATTAATAATTGATTTGATTTAAATAATTTTTCCTAAAAAATCTGCTCACTTTATGTCAAATAATAAAAATATTATTTTTAAAAAGCGCTAATATTTTTTTCTTAAATTGACTACTATTTCGGAAGAAATGGCGTCCAAGATGGACGGCTTTGTCGCAACCCCCTTAGATATACCAGCCCTGACCACCTATAACATTTTACCAGGATATTAACCTTCTGATCGTAAATATTTATTTATGTAAAAAATCAAATTAAAACAATATCATCAAAATGTTATAATCTAATCCATTTTTTTGGTTAGCCGGTCACTAATATACCAAATAAAAAACCGGAATTTTGGAATTCTCGTCTATGACTGCCATAAATAAGGTTTTTTATTTCTAGTTTTGAAATAAAAATCTAGTTTCAAGATCATTATTTTGTTTTTATTGTGGTATTTACAGCTCATTTTTACAGCTTATTTTTATCGTTCGGATTTTTTTACAAAACAAGCGTTATGAGAGCTGTACCTCGTAATAAAAAATAAATCACTGTTTAAAATAGCTTAATTACATCAAAACCATAACAACTCTATCAAGAGAAGAAAAAATTGGTTTCAATAACAAAATTTGATATTAAAATAATAAATGTTCTGTTGCTAGGATCTCGATAAAATATTTTGTTACAATACTAGGTATTTTTGCTCCAGTGTGAGCAACCACTAGGTATATCTGCTAGGCCACGTAGTTATCGAACAAATCTCGTATTATATAAAATTTGGACTTGCGTTCTACGCCGTTTAATAAATAATAATAAATAATAATAAATAATAATAAATAATAATAAATAATAATAAATAATAATAAATAATAATAAATAATAATAAATAATAATAAATAATAATAAATAATAATAAATAATAATAAATAATAATAAATAATAATAAATAATAATAAATAATAATAAATAATAATAAATAATAATAAATAATAATAAATAAATAATAATAAATAATAATAAATAATAATAATACACAGAATATGGAACAAAAAAATATATTTGTAAAAAAACAAACACTTAATGTAACACTGCAAAATAGAGCTGGCATACAGTAAAACTGATTCTAAGTGCCAGCCCTAGACAAAAAAAAAATAAATATTAACAAGCGTTTACAATCAACCTTTGAACTATAATATCAATATTTAAGAATTTTTAAATCATGTATTCGAGAGAAAAATTATATAGACTAATAAATTAATGTTTATTTAGAGACTAATCAATGTTTATATCCTTATTGCACAACATTTTCTTATATGTTTTTGTAAAACGACTTATACTGTACATTTTTAACTGTGTTGAAATTCCGTTATAAAGCTTATATATCATGTAAGTAAAGGATCTTTGGAACATCGAAGTTCGATGTGGTGGTGAAGATATTTTACCGCGTGAACGTATATTTATATTGTGAATATCTGAGCGATATCTAACTTTATTAAACAAATATGGGGGCGACTTAAATAAAATTATTTTGTGAAACAGAGTAGCCATATGAAGTCTTCTTCTACATGTCATATCCAACCATTTAGCATCACTTAATTTGTGAATTATTCTATCAAATTTTCTTATTCCATAAATAAAACGCAGACAGGATCTTTGTACTCTTTGGATACGATTTTTGTCAGTAATTTCTAAACAAGGGCCATATACGTTATCACAGTAATTAAAATGACTAAGAACTAAGGAATCACAAAGCAGAATTTTAGTGGATGTAGATAAAACATGTCTATGAGGAAATAACATCTTTAAATTTGCGTAGGCGTTCTGGATACATTTTAATACGTGTGATTTGAATTTCAATTCATTATCAATCTCTAAACCTAAGTTTCTAGCAACTTCAGCAAAGGGCAATACTGTCTGTTCTATATTTACTTTCATTTCACTTTTAACTTGATCTTTATGTTTACCGAAAATTATTACTACCGTTTTAGAAGGATTTATTGATAGAAAGTGCCTTTTGGACTCAATTGACAGATTGGTCAAATTTTGATTAATTAGTTCATTGGCACGTAGTACGTCACAGCTGTAAAATGAATACTTGAGCTGTGTGTCATCCGCATACATATATGATTTGCAAAATTTTAAAATACTATAAATATTACATGTATATATTGAAAACAATATTGGTCCTAAAATAGAGCCCTGTGGTACTCCACAATGAATGCTTTTAATGTCTGATCTACCTGAGGAAGTTTCTACATATTGGCATCTGTCACATAAATAATTTTTTAAAAATTTTACAGCATTATCTGAAAATCCTATATATTTTAAGATGGCCAACAAGATCTGGTGGTTAATTGTATCGAAAGCCTTTGAATAATCTATTAATGTTAAAGCAATCGTTTTTCCACTATCTATATCTCTAAATAAATCATCTGTAATATCTAAAAGTGCTGTTTTACAACTATATCCTCGACGGAATCCTGACTGATGTGTGGGTAAAATATTGTGTTTATTTAGATGTACATTAATTTGAAGTTTAATAATTTTCTCAATTATTTTTGACAACACTGGTAGTATGGCAATAGGCCGTAACTCATTTATACTAGAAATATTCTTTTTTTTGGCAATGGTAATATCTTAGAAGCCTTCCACTGCTCTGGAAAAACACTATTTTCTATACAGAAATTAATAATATATGTGATAAATGGCAATATACAGGGTGGCCACTTTTTCATTGAAATGTATTGCTATCTCGTAAACCGTTGGTAACACAAAGTTGGTTAAATGGGGAAAAAGTTGCATATTTCGAAGTCCAATCTGGGGGCGTTTTGAAAACTAAAATATCAGATCCGGTTTCCGAGATATTCGATAAAAAACAAATAAGTACCATTTCTTTATTCCGCTACAGAACGTTTATTTGCAAAAATAGACAAAAACTCATTTGGAGTTTTTTGTTTTATATCAAATTGTGCGTATGATAGCGTATTTAGTTTTTTTATCCGACGTTTCGTAAATGCAGGACCACCATCAACTTCTTTATTTGAATATGGACCAATATTTTCCTGGCTCATAATTTTAATGCATGTTCAATGTTGAATACAATGATGTAATAACATATTGTGATTAGTCAACATTTCGGAAGATTTGAACATCATCAGGTAAGTTTACAAGTACGGACCTGTGTTTTGTTAGTTAAAAATATTTGAATTAGTAAATGATGTATTATCAGTGTAAGAAATCAGGTACGTTTACTTGTACAGACCTGTATTATAAATTATTTGAAATACACAACTACATTTTAAAGGCTTAAAATAATTTAATAAAAAAAAATATGTATTTAACTACTTAATCACGTCAGAAACAAATAAATGAAAACAATGATTAACGATAAAAGAAAAACTACAGTAGTTGCTCAAAATGTCCTCCTTCTTCTTGAATACATAAGTCAATACGGTCTGTCATTTGAGCTATGCTGGCAGAAACCATTTGTGGAGTGATATTATTAAACGCATTAATTATCCTATCTCGTAATTGATTTAAGTCATTTGGAATACCATCATAATATACTTTATTTTTGATATATCCCCATACAGAATAATCCATAGGATTTAAGCAGGGTGACCTAGGGGGCCATCGAATAGGTCCATGTGTACCAAACCACCTCCTGGGAAATCTTTCGTTTAAATAATTTCTGATTAATGCAGCATTATGTGGCCCACAGCCATCTTGCATAAAATAAATATTTCTTCGATCACCTAAAGGAAGATTATCTAACATATCTTCTAGCAATTGTAAATAGTTGTGTTGGTTGAGGTTTCCGTCAATAAAAATACAACCAATTATTTTATTATTGAGTATTCCACACCATAAGTTTATTGAAAATCTAATTTGGGGTCTTACTTCTTGAATTAAATGTGGGTTGTCGGTGGCATAAAAATGTTTATTTTTTTCTATTAAATATTCCACTATTAGTAAATGTCGATTCATCTGTCCATAAAATTCGTCCATGAAAGGATACATCATTATTTAATTTTCGTTTATACCAACGGCAAAATTCTATTCTACGATTATAATCTCCAGGATGTAGCTTTTGTACAGTTTGGAATTTGTAATCATGGTACTTATGTTTTTTAAGAATGTTTTTCACAGTACTTGCAGAAACTCCACATTCTCGGCTTATTGCTCTAGACGACGTTTCAGGGTTGATATAAACTTGAGACAAAACATTTATTTCATTTATTGTATTACGTTTTAAATATTTACCACGTTTTTTTTCAATATTTCCTTCGTGAGCCATATTTAACGCTATCCTATAATAAATTAATAAAGATGGTTGCCTCCTTCCTGGATACAACTGAAGGTATCTTTCTGCAGCTTCTCCACTATTTCTGTTACATTTTATGTACACATCGTACATATCTATTTTCTCACTTCTACTGTAACGAACCATATTTTCAATACCCTAATTAAAAATATACCAATGCTTTTATCCGATACCAGACTGTCAAATATACAATAATAAAATGTGACATGCCAGGTTAACTTGATTTAAATTTATCTGTATAATAATCAAGACGTGTTGCTAGATATACAATTATTATTGTAAGTAGGTATCTATCTGCAGTTTGTTAACTTTTTCTTTTTTATACTATGAGGAACCATATCAGTTTAAAAAATCCAACAAAATATGACAAATCAGGCTAACTTTATGTATTTAAAAATCGGGATGTACTTTATTTATAGATTAATATTGGGATTGGTCAAGTGCAAAAACCATAAAAATGGAAAATATTTTTTAGCAAATGTGTAAACGAACATGTTGTCTTGATGTAAAGTTAAAAGTTTGACTTTGGTATTTATTATTTATAATCTCTTACAACGATAATACATCATTTACTAATTCAAATATTTTTAACTAACAAAACACAGGTCCGTACTTGTAAACTTACCTGATGATGTTCAAATCTTCCGAAATGTTGACTAATCACAATATGTTATTACATAATTGTATTCAACATTGAACATGCATTAAAATTATGAGCCAGGAAAATATTAGTCCATATTCAAATAAAGAAGTTGATGGTGGTCCTGCATTTACGAAACGTCGGATAAAAAAACTAAATACGCTATCATACGCACAATTTGATATAAAACAAAAAACTCCAAATGAGTTTTTGTCTATTTTTGCAAATAAACGTTCTGTAGCGGAATAAAGAAATGATACTTATTTGTTTTTTATCGAATATCTCGGAAACCGGACCTGTTATTTTAGTTTTCAAAACGCCCTCAGATTGGACTTTGAAATATGCAACTTTTTCCCCATTTAACCAACTTTGTGTTACCAACGGTTTACGAGATAGCAATACATTTCAATGAAAAAGTGGCCACCCTGTATATGAACAACACAAAAGTAGCATATTAAGTTGTACAAGATCTGGTCCTATCGCATTTGACTTGATTTCTAACAAATTTTTGTACACAGTATTGTCATCAACAGATACAAATACACAAGGATGTTCTAGGTTTATTTTTCTGTTTGATTTATAAAATTGTAATAAATTATGATCTGGTATTTACATATTTGACGAAGGTAATAAAAAATGCTCATTAATCTTATTAGAATCATTTAAATTATCAGGAATTACGTTTTCTTTAGATTTACTATAAATATTAAGATCATTCAGTCTGGTCCACAGGTTCCTCCTATTTGTATTATTATTTGTTAGGTATTATTGTAAATAGGCTCTTTTTTCATTGCTAATTGCGTTTGTAGTAAAATTTCTGAGATATTTGTAGTAGTCCCAATGATGAGGGAGTTTTTTTCTCTTAAATTTTTTTAAAGCTTTGTCCCGCAATCTCATCATTAGTTTAATATTGTTAGTGAGCCACGGTGGCCTTGGTTTTTTATTTTAATCTTTTTAAGTGGTGATAATGTATCAAATACTCTTAGCAACTTGTTTGTAAAATACATAACCATATCATTTACATCAATTGAATTAAAAATATTTTCAAAATTACTTGTTTGTAGGCAGTTAAGTAATAATTGTTGATCTATACTCTTTAGATTCCTAGTTACAATGAATTTACTCTTCACTTCAGGTAAAGATAGATTTAATTGCACCACAGTCCAAAGCCAAAACTTAACCTTACTTTCTCTGTAATTCCGCATTTTGTGGGTATGGCTCATGCAGGAGTACTGATGGAGTTATTCAAAAAGAGGTAGTTGCCTCAAGACTAAACATCTTAGGTTCAGGACTAGATACATTTACAAATCATGGCTTGTTTACATATTTCCTTAAATTGCCTTTTGATGACGCCACCCAAAGACAACCCATGGAGTAAGGCAGCAAATACCAATACAGCTCTTAAATGAGGTTAAAGTCTTTACACACCAAGTTAGGATCTAGTCTGTCCTTACTTAATAAGACATTCATCCTAATTTTGAAACTAGAGGAAATTTCACATTAGAATTTAAAAGTGACCTCATGGAAATAATAAGGGGGGCTAAGTTGAGACCGAAGCAAATCTGCTAAAGTTATGAAGCATTTAGGTTAAGATATGAAGCAGATGCCTAAGTTAAGGGTAAATCAGGCATTCAAAACAAATGAAAGTGATAAGGTTTGGTATGTCTAAAGGGTTGCTATATACGATGTAGTCAATCTACAATACGTGAAATCATAAATAGTGGATTAAATTTAAATATTTAACACAAAAATATTATTTAAAAAAAAATCGCTTATACATTTTCTATAAATTGGCAGGCTTGAGACTATTATTTTGAATAAAAATAGCGTCCAAGATAGAAGGCTATGTCGCAACCCCCTTAAATTTACGAGCCCTTCCCGTTGGCAGTTATTAGTGAATGTCAACTGAAATGTCACCAAAAATCGTTTAATAATAATCTTCATTCTTCAACGATTTTACGTGCGAAAATATGATATTCTTACACAAAAATCAAGAACGTTCATTCCATACATCAACATTGCCGTAAGAACTTACTTCTTGATCTTCAGGAATTATAATAACATCTAATAAAGTTTCTGTGTTTTTTGTGACACGAGTTGGTTTATCAATAATTTGCTTAAAATTAAATAATTGTATAGTATTAAACAATTTTATTACTTTGTTAGATGTGATATCTAAAAGATTAATATTTATATCTCCCCCAATAATTATCCCAGAGTGAGAAGTAATTAAATCCGAAACGTTTTCTTCGATATTATTTAAAAATTCTAATAAATATTTTTGAGGTGGTCGATAATAAGTACCAATAGCTAATGTAAGTTTATCAATATATTTGTTCAACATTATCGTTAGTTTTTATATTCAATAGTTCATGTTTTAAATCAGATCTTATGTAATCTAGTATTTCCATAAGAAACTTATTTAAAATCAGCAAAACGAAAATGCACTCTCATGCAGCATGCAAGTTTTCTTTTTCAAGATGCGGGATTATGATACAGAAACTCTGCGCATTTGGTCTTTCTAATAGTTTGATCACACTTTTTCAATCGTATCTCTCTCAAAGAACACAATATGTTCAATTAAATGGATTCAAGTCTAACAAATATTGCGCCACCTCTGGTATACCGCAAGGTTCAAATTTGGGTCCGCTGTTATTTAATATTTTTATCAACGACATTGGTGACGCTATAAATGTTGATTATTTGCTGTATGCTGATGACTTAAAAATATATTCAGCTATTGAAAATATTTCTGACTGTGAACAGTTGTCGGAAAATTTGAACAAAGTTGTTGAATGGTGCAACAAAAATGGTCTTACACTGAATCCCGTCAAATGTAACGTAATGTCATACACATTAAAAGCGCATCCAATTAAATTCGATTATGTCCTTGATGGACGTTTGCTTTCTAAACCCAACAATTTTATGGATTTAGGGGTTACATTTGACCCAGTATTGTCGTTTAAATACCACATAGATAACATCTCAACAGCTGCAAATCGTATGTATGGATTCATAGTACGAGTGGGCCGTGATTTTAAAAACACAGATACTATTAAATCATTGTATTTCTCATTTGTTCGATCTAAACTCGAATATGCCTCGTTTATTTGGGATCCTTATTATCAAATACACATTTGTCGGATAGAGTCCACACAAAGGCGTTTCCTCAAATACTTAAGTTTTCGGGCAGACCAAATTTATCCACCGATTGGTATTACTCAAAATGCTTTACTGACTAGACACAGATTGACAAGTCTCGACGTAAGACGAAAGTACTTCTCCATAATTACCCTCTACAAAGTTGTTAATTTTAAAATCAATTGTGAAGCTCTTTTACATATGCTTAATTTTAGAATCCCACGCGCAACCTCTCGAAACACTGAATCATTTTACATAACGACTCCTCGGACAAACGTTCTGAAGTTTTCACCTGTATATAACATGTGTAATAATTATAATAATATTAGTGAACAGTTGGATATATTTAATTGCAGTGTTAAAAACATAAAAACACATTGTTTAAAATAATTTTGAATTTATTTACTGTAATTTTAGATTAATTATCTATATGCCTTTTGTTAAACTGTTTTCTTTCAAATGTACTCCTGTTCTGTAATTGGGTTTAACCTGTTGAACAATGTATAAATAAATAAATAAATAAATAAATAAATAAATAAATAAATAAATAAATAAATAAATAAATAAATAAATAAATAAATAAATAAATAAATAAATAAATAAATAAATAAATAAATAAATAAATAAATAAATAAATAAATAAATAAATAAATAAATAAATAAATAAATAAATAAATAAATAAATAAATAAATAAATAAATAAATAAATAAATAAATAAATAAATAAATAAATAAATAAATAAATAAATAAATAAATAAAATGAAAATCGAAAAAGAAGAAATTATATTTGACATAACCAACTATCAACCCTTTACCTGAAAGGATTCTAACCAGATATTTTGGCTACTGGACTAGACATAGAGTCTAATTAAGGCTAATATCAAAAAAGAAGAAATGATGAAAGATATTAACTTAGCATTGTTTACAATTTATTGAATGCTAAATAATTATATTTAAAATTTAATATTATATTAAAATATTATTTGTTATTCATTTCAGAAGCTACTGCAGATGAAGAATGGCAGGACCCTAGTACACAATTAAATAAAATATAGTATATTGTATCCTTTTGATTATAAAACTTAACGATAAAATAGTTGACTCAAGGCTTGTGAAAATCATCACATAGTTTAACCTTATTAATGCCAATGCTTCACAAACCAAAAATTGAACGTCTTTATACTACTATTGGCTTTCGGTCTTTTGTTCCAAGTTAAATCATTTCTCGTTTTTGTTACGCTACGAGTTTACCCT